CTGAACATTTAGCAATACAGTATAGTCATTAACCACATGCCATCCAAAGCATGTCTTTCATACCACTACAGGGATTTGTACATCCCCATAAGTAGACAATTGTGTTTCCACTAAGAATGTTAAAACCACCAGTTTAAAGGGATCAGGTTAGTAATTATGTTAATGTGCTTAGTTATGTTTTACAGTTTCACTGGGGAAAGCAGTTATAAAGCACAGCACTGCCTATTGAAATGTCTTCTCTCACTTTGTACTTTATCTGCAGCTGAATGTGGAGCATCTGCAACAAATAATGAAGGAATTCTGCTGTCTCCGAATTACCCACTGAACTATGAAAATAATCATGAATGTATTTACAGCATTCAAGTACAAGCAGGGAAAGGAATCAATATCTCAGCCAGAACATTTCACTTAGCACAAGGGGATGTTCTTAAAGTAGGTTATTCGGATAAAAAGTATGCATTTGTGCTTTAAATATGTTTATTTTCAGTTCATGTTCAATTATTTAAGATTTAATTTTTTTAGGTTTATGTTTGAAAATATTTAATTAAATGGGAGATAATTCCAAGATTATTTTTACCAAATTCTATTTATTCGAAATGCTTTCTTGTAAGCTTAGATTACAGCTATATAGATGGATAGATAATTGTCTCCATGGAGATGAGATATTTGCCTGTCCACTGTTAAAATGTTAGTCAGCAATGCTTATCATGTGACGAATTTGAGGGAATACTATGCGGTGCATTGTCAAAGCACATTGTCACCATGTTGATGAGAACAAGGGCCTCTTTACCACAGTAGTTGTGGGGGTCTGTCAGTTGTGGGGGTCTGTCAGCAGGAAGCTAATTGGAATAGCTAATTGGAATCTGGAATCCCCCTTTAAAAATAAAGGGGGCCCCAGATGCCTTCCCCCCATGTGTTTGAGTAGGGGGTACTATGTACCCTTACTAATTCATAAAAATAGTGACAGACATACATGTGACCAGTCTTTTATTAAAAATAAAAAAAATAGATTATTATTTTTAATTATTTGGACAATTAATCAGAGATGGTTAAGGCATATATCCCGGCTGGGTCACTATCTGCAAGGAGTTTGCATGTTCTACCTGTGCTTGCGTGGGTTTCCTCCGGGTACTCTGGTTTCCTCCCACACTCTAAAGACATGCTGGTAGGTTAATTGGCTCCTCTCTAAGTTGGCCCTCTATGTATACCTGTGAGATAAGGTACCTTAGATTGTAAGCTCCTTGAGGGTAGGGACTGATGTGAATGTGCAACTATGTAAAGTGCTGCGTAAATTGTTGGCGCTATATAAATACCTGTAATAAATAAATAAAATGAATATAAATTAGTGGGGGCGGGGGATTCATTTGGTGGAACTTTACCCTTCAGGTTATAATCACACTAATATGTGGAAAGTCATGTTTTAAAACTGGCTATCCATCAATTTATATTGGCGCTCCTAACCCATGAGGATCATAGTGAAATTCTTGATGTTGTTTTTTATTAAAAATATATAAGTACCATAACCAGCTTCTAGAAGTTCCTAAAGGACCATGTATTTCCCTGACTTTTCTCTAAAGAACATTTGTTTGTACTATGTTTATTTTAAGAGTGCAGGTTATTTTGGTACTGATCTAGAATAGAATATATGTAAGTTTGCAGCCAACATCTAAATTTACTGCATTACTTAAGTTATTGTCCCTATTGTTCCTAAAATGAACATGTTCTGAAAATTCTAGTTGCTTGGATTTTAAGCTGGCCCAGTGATCTTCAATGCTTTCTGTGTCACCTATCCAGAACAAGTATATATATTATAATAACCGTGCTGTCTTGTGCCAGCACTGAAGTCAGAGATTGCCAGGCAACTAGCATTTTTCAGTAGGGAGTCAAAATAGCAGCCCACAGCAAGCTGGATAAGGGTAAACCGTGTATATGATTTCATCAATAGAAATCAGATAAGGTTTGATGTGGTTCAGTTTGGTCCTAGTAAATTTTAAATTTAAGCAAAGCAGACTACAAATGTATACTTTAAATTTCCATTCAATAATAAATTCATTGTCTCTACCTTTCCAAATATGGTAAATTTATTGGGAAAATCACCCAGAGTTTAAAACTAAAATACTGTTTGATACAACACAAAAGAACCTGCTAAATGCAGTATTTCAGTCTATATCACACACTTATTTGGAGGCGTTATAGAATACACCTTAGAATGCCCCTAAATGTGGTTTTTCATAATTAAACAGACTTTAGGGAATTGTCTTCTGGTCATCCATAGCATATTTCAGTGGTGTTAAGCAGATATTAAATGTCATTCTGGACCTATACTGTGTAATTAATTTCCTGGATGATGGATAAGAAACCAAGGTTCTCCACTGAATAATTCTCAGTATGGCTTAGTTAAAATGCTTTCACAAAACACTGTGCTGCTTGACTAGTTTTTCAAGAACAGTTGTCTTCTGCTTCGTCCCCATTTCAAGTTCATTTCAAAAGTAATTTATCTTGCATTTCCTCCCATTGTTCTCCTGTCATACTCCCAGGCAAACTGATCATTTGCATTTATTTAAAATGTTAAGACTTTATTTACAAATTACATTTTAAATGTGCACCAAATATTATTTTACATGGTGTTTTATCAAGTAAACACATTTAGTAATGCATTGTAGGCACTTGTTTTGCTACTAAAAGTAAAAAGTGGTTAAACTCCCTCCAAATGCATATTTATAATTATTAGATATGTGCAATTAGTTTTTTTTACAATACAGTATTTGGAGAAATGTACTTTATTCAGAGATTCGGATATATCCAAATCTCAAAATAACAACAGTAATGAATTTCACCTTACCGGAAAGAAATTATAACAAACTTTGGAGTCATTTGTTTAATTCGGACGTTGAGATTCCTTTTTTGAATGTGGTTGGAAACAATCATATTATCCGAATCTTCGCATCATCCGAATCGGAATCCCCAACCGAATTGAATTTCAGACAACTTGTCTACTATCTATTAAAAGCCAGTCTTCCGAAATAACAAATTTTACTAATAAAGAAAAAGCTTCCGTCCAAAATTACGAATTGATTTGGCATACCAAATAAATAATTTTGCAGAAATAACCATTCATTAAAAAAATAATCATTCTGACATAACAAATATGAAAAAACACAATTATTTGCTTGTAAAATAGAAATGAAACAAAACACTTGTTTGCCGACACACATGCCTAATAATTATAGCTGAACTTTGTATTTAACATAGACAACATCAAAGTGTTAGACCCCAAACCTCAACCCCTCAGCCAAGAATAATCTAGCTCAACCCTGTCACAAAATTGAGACCCCTATATCAGCCTTTCTTTACCTTTTTAGCCTTAAGAAACCCTTGAAATTATTTCTAGGTGTCAGGAACCTCCCACTAAATATATTACAGTATATCTACAACTCACAGTACATTGGCATGATCAGTAAGTTGTAGAAAGTTTAAAGGAAAAAAATAAGGAAAATAAAGAATGTCCTATTTCTTGATTGTTTGACACCTGGGATGGATCATTTATGAACATGCCCCAATTCTATACAACAAAATTATATTAAGTAATAACACTTATGAAATTAAACAGATAATAATACTGGGCAGAAGATAAAAACAGGCAGTTAAAATTGTAGTGGCTCTCTACATCGGTGGTTAATAGGGAAATGTCCACACACATTGGTAGCCATGAAGACATGTCCCCCAACATTGGTGGTTGGTAAAAGTGGAATATTAAGTCACCACTGCTTGCTACTCAAGAAACTCTTCACAATCTATGGAGAAGCCACTGGGTTCAGAAGGCCTGTATGACATCAGTTTAAATCAACAGCTCTTTATTCCCTTAATATTGAAAACATGACAGTACAAAATGTAAATGTTCTCCAAGACATGTCAAGGTTTCATGGTCCAAGAAACCATGTCAAGGTTTCCAGCCTTCCAGCAGTACATACTTAAAACATCACAATGATCAAATTAGAGAACTTTTACATTTTTGTACTGCCATGCTTTTAATATAAAGGAAATAATTATAATTGATTAAAACTGATGTTGTGCAAGTTCACTGTGCAGAAATAGTGCAAGAGCCGGAGATGTGTCATTGGGTAGGAGATTGGTGCTCAAGGCATTTTGTCAAACGTGGTTGGTGCACACTTTTGTTATCATCAAAACCCAAGGCACAAATAGAGAGAAATTCAGCCGATGGGGATGATGAAGAAGGGATAAACATCTATCATGTTATGTTCTTATGTTTCTGTCACCAAGAAATTAAGTGTGCAGTTTCTCAAACAATAACACAGGCAGCAATAAATGTAGCCAAAAAAATTTACATTTCACTGATTGAACTGCTTAAGACAAATGCATCTACTCTTTTTTTTTCTTTTTACTAACTTAGAGGGTTTAGCTTCTTTTGTATATGTAGGGTAGTTTTGTATTTTTTAGTTGTATTGTTTGTTTATTTGAAGTCCATTGTACCCTTATAATCCCCTGATTTTCACTGAAATTTCCGGGCAATTACAACTGGATTTAATTCAATAAAGACAGACAGACTGTTCACTGTGCAATTAAATTTTTTGATTTTGCAAGGGAATGTTCCCTTAGTTTAGTGACTGTGGTAAAATTTCTCTTTGCAAAGAATGCCAAGTCACATGCAAGGAAAATAACAGTATTTTTGCTTGCACACGATTAGATGATGGAAGTCAGCAGTGCTTCACCTCTTCTCATTCAGTAAGCTCAGGGAAAATTGCCTTGCAAAGTGGACAGTCTGTTTGCCTTTAGCAAATCAACTCCAATTAGGGATGTTCAGATGCCAGTGTCGATACTTGCTATTTTCATGAGAACTACCAGGGTTTCAGCGGTTGCAGCTGGGACCTGACTCTGGCGCTCCACCACTACTGTCCTGATATCATTAGTCTGTATTAAAAGTATCTTTACTTGTCACTAACTCCAATGTATCCAGAATTAATAAATAATGAATGTGGGTCTTTGAATTTGCCTTAATGTCAAGCAATATTATATATATCAACCTTCTTCATTACTAAAGTATTTAAGTTATGTGTGTCATTCTTCATATAGAGTGATTTTACATTTTGGATGTGACTTTGTTTTTTTTTAGATATATGATGGGAAAGACAATACTGTTCACTTGATGGGAGCCTTTACAGCGTCATCTTTGAGAGGACTGACACTTAGCAGTACATCAAACCATTTGTGGCTGGAATTTAACTCAGACTCCGAAATAACTGATGAAGGTTTTCAATTAGTCTATACTAGTAAGTATGTAGCCAATTTACTAATTTACTATTTAAGATAAATAATAGACATGTGCATTCGGTTTTGGATAAACCTGCAAATCAACGAAATTCAGTTAATTTGGCGGTTCGGCCGAATCCAAAATAACACATTTATTATATGCCCAAATATACAAAACTATATTCGAGAATACATAAATTGGACTACAGAATGCGCGGCGGCCATATTGGCTGCTGTCGCATTCTGCGCATGCCCACTGCCATCTTGGTGGTGTAGTGTATGATTTCACGTGACGGTGACATCATACGTTGAATGAGCGGTGGCCACATTGTTCTACATATGCACGCCGCCATTTTGGAGTTTATTTTGATATACACCAATGTGGCAGCACCCAAATATACAGACACCACCATCTTAGTGTATACCAGGACACACTCCAATGCGCATACGCAGTTTATTGTGCGGTTTTGGATTTGAAGGCATTAAAATGTGTTTCCTTTGACGAGACAAATGAAAATGTTTTTAGTTTTCATTTGTTTCATCCAAAACAAATTTTTTTTCTATGCACATGCCTAATAAATAAGTAGTTGAAATGATAATTAAAATGTATATTCTTTCAAGTTACTCCACCCACATCTAACCTCCATTTTGAGAGGAGTTGCAATTTAGTTGAAGAAATTATGTAGTTTTAAATTTAACACAGCATTGCAAATTGAAATATCTGAATATGGATGAATATGGATGCATCAAAGGTGATTGTACATATTACCTGATACTTTCTCCTGCTTGTTAGGGGAATATTTTCACAATAAGATAAAAAGATCATGACAAGTGCTTCTTTTAGGGCTTGTTCACAACATTGGCCAGTGTGTTCCGGTGCGGTTAGATGCTGGAACGCACTGTATCACATACTAATCTCCCCCAGGGGGAGGGGCGTGGTGGTGCATTGAAGTCAATGGCACCACAGCCACGCCCCCCGCCCATAGTTCGATCGCCTGCACGAGCACGTGGCACATCAATGCCTGCATTCCAGTTCTGCGTGACCTGAAAAAATAGTGCATGCAGCATTGATGTGCCACGTGTTCTGGTGCGGGTAAATGCACTATGGATGGGGGCATAGCTGTGGTGCCATTGACTTCAACGCACCACCACGCCCCCCTCCCATCTCAGAATGCAGGGGGAGTTTAGTATGAGATACTGTGAGTTCCAGCAGCTAACTGAACGTCAGTGGTGTGAACAAACCCTTAAAGTCCTTTATAAGTGTTCCTGTTGGTACAAAATTAAAAGGAACTTCTGACTAACATCTGCATTTCTCATTTGTCTCCTTTTTATATGCTGAAAAACTCTGGAATTTAGCAACTTTTCAAAGCTCAATATCCCCTACTTGGGCGTATTATAATTCCTCAAGTTTGAGCAAGTTTTGAAAGAGCTATTCCAAATCAATCAATTTTATACAGGACGGTGCTGATTCACAGTTCTTTCAGAAAAACTTAACCACTGAATGTAACAGTGGATGTGCTATAGCAAATCTGAAACATATAGAATTCCCAGTGCATCTTGCATTTAAATTATTTAGTACACAAGTATGCCATATTGCCTTATTGCTCTAGTAGATGGATTTACATTAGAAAATTGCAAGCTCACTTGAACACTGGCAAAACAAACAGTACTGCTACAGTCCCAAACCCATGAAATAAAATGCAGATTAAGAGAAACCATCCATTAATGTACACCAATAAACATTTTCTATGGAACTATTCTGCCAACACCCTTTTCCAGGCTCTTCTAGGCATTCCAGCACTGGCAATTTTAGTTAGGACGTTCCTCCAACCAGACTTCAACCACAGCTTGCGCACACAGCCATCTGTGACCCAATGACTGCGGAGAGCCAATGTCATGGCTAACGTCCGAGGATTGTATGTAACTGTACCCACAAAAAAAAACAATTATAAAAAATAGCCACTTATGTATTCTTAAAATAACACTCTTTTAATTTAAAAAGGTAAAAATATGTATGTTTTTTGTGATAAAGAGAATATATTTCATCAACAGTTGTTTTTTCTTACTTATTTTTAAAGACTTTGAACTCTCCCACTGTGAAGACCCAGGTGTGCCACAATTCGGATACAAAATTAGTGACCAAGGACATTTTGCTGGCAGCACCATTATCTATGGATGCAATCCAGGTTACACCTTGCATGGAAGCAGCCTGCTGAAATGTATGACTGGAGAACGACGAGCCTGGGACTATCCTCTGCCATACTGCATTGGTAACATTTTTTTTTAACTATGGATTTTTTTACTATTTGCAATTGTGCATTTAATTTCCTTGATTTTATGAAATGTTGTGTTCACCAGCATGAACAAATATTGTGATGCTGTCTTACTGTTTTTATAATTGTAATGTAACTGTAATTCTTCTATACTTATTGGTATTGTTCCTAATTAGCTGAATGTGGAGGCCGTTTCAAAGGAGAATCTTCAGGCAGAATTTTATCACCAGGATACCCCTTTCCATATGATAATAATCTACGTTGTACGTGGATAATTGAAGTGGACCTGGGCAATATTGTAAGGTAAAGCAAATTATGCTTGAACTTATGGTACACTGCAATAAATATATTAGTAAACATTCATATTCTGCAAATTTTATGCTGATGTTGATGAATAATTTATATATTTATACCGTTCAGGAATGTAGACAGGAACAATGACACCAGGTATTTTCTCTTGCAATTGTGGGGAGCACTGCTAAACAATTTAGAGAATGAAAAAACGATCTGTTCTCTCCCCACTTTTGCACTCCTCTATGTTTTCCTCTTTGCCATCCTAATCCCTTAATCTTTCCTAAATAGGATCATCTCCTCTTTCCTCAATCCCCTGATCTCTTCTTCTCCTCCTCCTCCCCTCTCCTCTTTTGCTTCTTCCATCCTTTCCCCTCCATCTTATCACCCATTAATCGTATTCTCCCTTTTTTCCTCTCCTCTGCCTTCCTCTCTTCTTTCCTCTATACTGTCCTCATATCCTTTTTTCTCCCTCTCTTCCCATCTCCTTTCCCCCTCCATCTTATCCTTGTATCATCTCCCAATCCCCCCTTTGTGCCTCTATTCTCCTATCTCTTCTCTTAACCTCTCTTTTCTATTTCTTGTCTCCATCCCTTCTATAGTACAAAGTTAAACCAACAGATACTGAAAACAAGGCAGTAGATATTGTATACAAGACAGAGTAGTAGTGATAACTAACAAGAAAGAAAATATTAAGACCTTGCTTGTTATAGCTTTAATCCAATAAAAAGATCTTTCTTTCTTTCTTACTTACTTTCTTTCTTTCTTTCTTTCCTTCTTTCTTTTTTTCCGCCAATAATCATTATATATATTGCATCATTTTGAAGAGCAGTTCAATAATAAAACAAGAATACAAAGTCCTATCATAATTCCCCTGTAGCAAAAGTAATTTGGAATATCTGAATAATTATGTCTGTAATGTGTGGCTTATGGTTGTTCATTTGAACAAACAGTACTGAAAATTATGTGAAGCAGTAGAGGCAAATCCCACAACTAATCCATGTGGGACTATAGCTAATTAATCATGACAACTGACTCAAATCTGTTACGTTCTATGTATATTAGCAGTACTGAGTAAAGCATCCAGCTGAACTCATGGTAGTGGTAAAAGATGCCAAAGTGACACACAAGGGAACAAATACTACTCACACTGCAAATACAGTCACATTGGAAAACACCCCCATTATCTGGTGAATGTGGGATCCAACATGTGGTGTTACCATGGGGATGGCCCCATAATTTGGGAGGAAGTTTAATATCACTTTTTGTGCAAATGTCCGTTACTGCTTATAGCTCAAATGTAAGTAATCAAAAGCAGCTAGTACAGACCCACCCTAAAGTGGAACTTAAAATACTGATCACAACTACCTCATTGGTATAAATGCTGCATCTCTAAACCTTCATATACCCTTTTTTACTGTGTATAT